CCGGCCCTGGGCTGCTCTGCGTCACAAGGGCCTCCGCGGGCCCTCAGCATGGCTCCTCCCAGATGGCTGGGCAGGAGGCCTTGGGAGCCGCTCTGGGGGGCCCGTGCGGCCTGCAGGCCTCCAAGAGCCGTGGGGCCAGCCCATGCACCTCTGGGCGCAGCGTGGCAGCCTCCTGGCCTGGCGGCCGGTGTCCACACCCGGCAGCTTGGGAGCACGGTGCTCTGTGGGGCAGGTGGGGCCGGGCGGCCGGTGGCCTCAGCTGTGACTCCTTGTACTCGGGGTGAGTTCTCACAAGACCGTTCTTTGCGGGGAATCATAGGAATTGGAGACATAGGAATAGAGTGGCCAGGTTAGCTGAGAGAGGATGATGACGAAATGATAGCTTCTGAATTACTTGAAACTTTTTACTCAGCCATTAAGGAAGAAACTTGACAAACCGGGTGAGATTATATATCCTCAAATGTAAAACCTGATAAAGGAACAGTTGGGTCTAAAGGGTTTTATTTCAGTTATTTAAGAAGTGCGCTCCAGACTCATAGTTGGGATCTATGAGCTACCCGGCAGTCCTCCGGCGGCCTGGATCCCGGCCTCAGCGTGCCGACCCCGCGCTCTGCAGCTGCTCCCCGGAGCAGAGTGCCTGCATCACCCAGGTGGAGCCACGCCCCCGGGGGCGGTGGGATCTTCCTTTGGTTTTTGCAACGTTGCGATGGCTGGCTGCAGGCGTCCCCACCCCGATTGTTTTTACTGTCCTGAACTGGGTCCGGCCCAGTGGCAGGTGTGAGGAACGGTGGCTTTGGAAATGCAGGGTGTGGGGTGCCGTGTGCTGAGGTACACGTGCCTGCGCCTGCGGAAGCTGTGCCAGCCACACCTGCTTAAAGACCAGGCAGGGGTTCTTAGCCTGTGTTTCCTCTTCCACTCCACCTGAACACCCACTTTTTCATTAGGGATTCTGAAAATTGGCACGTGGGTTCCAGTCATTTTGGAATGTCAAAATCCAGACTTTTTAAGAATGAAGGGCACCGTGTAGTTTGTGAAGAGTCATCTCCAGGCAGTGTTTCTCCTCACAGGGTTGGGGGCCAGCAGCTGGCTCTGTCTCCACGTCCTCCAGGGGCCTGGGGCCAGCTTCGCCTGAGGGCCTCCTTGGGCTATGTGCAAACACCTTTTTCAGAAATAATGTTTTTATTAAAATATGAAATTCATGTTCCTGTAACGGCTCAAAGTAAGATTTCTGAACCATGACATGTCAGAGGTCAAGGTGGAAGATGTCTCCATGTCCACCTGTGTGTGGCTGTGGCTTCCCAGCAGGAGCAGTGGCAAGTGGGCTTTGGGTCTGGGCCTGCTGTCCTGAGGCCAGATTCCAGAATGAGCCTCGCCTGACAGGGCTCAAGCCCTGGCCTCAGGTGTCCCCTGGTTCTGTGACAGCGTGCCCTACCGATGCTGTCAGACTGCCAGTGACCAGATTACTTGATTTAATGTAAGGACAAGGTTTAATAAAGTGCTTTCTTGCTGACCTGTCTGCCATGTGATGGTTGGTTTGTCCAGCTCAGTGAGGCAGCCGCTGCCTGACCAGGCTCTCCACTCCCCACAACCTTTAGTGGGCAGCTTGGGCCTGGGAAGGGCCCTGGCTGAGGAACAGCCCAGGAGGGGGAAGTTCTGAAAGACTCAGGGCCCTTGGGAGCAGGCATAGACGGCTCTGCCTGGTGCGCGGAGGGTCTCCCTCCCAACACTGGGGCAGGGCCAGCCTGCAGCCCCCGCTTTACCCACAACCACCACAGGGCTGCTCTGCCCTGCCCAGCTCGCGCCTCTGGCTCCAGTGGGGGTGCCCTGCTCCAGGTGGAGAGCTGAGGCCCGGCCAGGAGGGTGGTAGGGAAGCCCCGGAGAGCTTCCAGGTCCTATCTCAACACCACACACAGGCACAAGCTTCCATCCTCCCAGGCACTGGGGGCTTCTTCCACCCTAGGGACCTACATCCCCTCTCCCTGAGCCTGGCTTTAGCTGCTGTCTCTGCCTGCCCCGCAGTTCTGAGCACTTGCATGTTATTCCTGACCCGTGTCGGGGAGAGGTGTTTTCTGTGCGTGCAGGTGTGGGCAATGGGTGCTGGTCTCAGCCTTTGCTCTCCCCCTACCCGTGCCCCCAAACAGTGGCTCCTGTTCTGTTTCCTCCCAGAAAGCTCTTGAGGGAGAATTACAGCTGATGGACTGGACCGGAGAAATGCTGGAATCCACCTGTCCTGCACTGCAGCCGCCCTGGTGAATGGCTACCCTGGGGTCATGGGGGCACGGAGCTGGAGTGACAGGCAGGGAGCTGGGTGTGAGGGCTGCTGGCCGTGTGCCCCAGACAGTGCCCCAGATGCCCAGTCGGGAAAGACATGACCCCACAGGAGCCACCAGCACATCCACGGCTGTCTCCGTCCAAAAACTACACACGGGGAGGGCGGGCAGGGCTGTTCCAGACTAGTTACTGAGAAGGGACACCCGGATCCTGACTCTAAATCTCCAGCTGTAGTGGGGGTGATTGGGGATGGTCCATTCCAAGTGGGGGCACATGTTTTTACACGTGATGCGACCCCCTGAAGACCGCGAAACCAAGACTTGAGCAGCTGCGACTGAGTATGTTCATGCACCGCCCTGGGAAACAGGACCGCGGGGGGTCGGTGTCCAGCCTGGCGGGGCCAGCGGGCGGCCTCCACAGGTTGGGCACGAAGGCCGCCCTGGCTAGGGGGCCGGGGAGGAGGTGGAGACGCACGGACCGGTGAGTCGCCCCAGGCCACCGAGCAGAAGGCCGAGGACGAGGGCGTGCCTGGGGGTCCAAGAACAGGGGCTTGGGACCCTCCGAGGGCGGGCGGGTTGTCGGCGCCTTGCTCTCTAA